TTACTGCGCTAGAGCTGCTACAAAACAGCATTATTCCTGCTCTCTGAGCTGCTCTAAAACACGAAAGTCCAAGTCCCTGAACTTGTTCCGTCATATAAGCCACTCGTTGTAGCACTTGGCAGGTTACGCCTAACCATCGTTGTGGCTCTCCGAGAACTAGCAACAAGTTGGTCGCAGCCATCCTGTTCAGAAGGTGAAGAGTGGCAGGTGTCGTGGGAACTGCTTTTATGAGGGGCTTGAGGTCCGGAGAGCGTCTCTCGGGTGTTTACCGAGATTGACGGCTGCTTTCCGTCTACATTGAGCCGCTACCTCATGATCCAGGTTACTGGCTCTTTTGCCACGAGAGTGAGGCTGTTTCCTTCTTCGTTCTAACAAAAAGTAGAGTTGTTGAACAATATTTCTTGCTGGGCTAGTTGATGCTTACTTATGAATACTGGATAGAAAAACCTTAATAAAAAAAAGAGCAGTAGTGCTTCTTCTGTGTCATTCCCCTTTTGTTTTGTTTTAAAGCTGCTCTATCAAGTATTCACTGTGGTAGACAGTAAAAGTGTTGAAGCACTGAAAGAGAAAAGAACGTGCCAATAAAATCGCCGAATGTCAACTGGAAGGTTTTGCTGTGGTGCTAAAGAAGGTAGACACAAGGGTTATCCAATAAGAAAAAACGTTTATTCCGCACAGCTAAACTTCACTCAACACCGTCTCATTGGCTAACATACAAAAACGCTGCAAGCTCATATCTCATAGCACTAAAATCAGCCAAAGTCTCCTTCCTTAAATCCACGCTTCCTAACTTAATACAGGCTAACCCAAAACGCTTTTGGGAGATTATCCGGGGAAATGCTCATAAAAACGGTATATCACTGCTGACAAGTTCTGGGGGCCCTGTACCGGAGCATATGTGTTCTACTCTGCTCAATGAAACTTTCGCTTCGTCATTCTCATCACCTAACCTTCCCGGTCCGATGCCTGAGATCCATCCTACTCAATACCACTCAATGCATCCCATAATCTTCAACTCCACTGGTATCAAAAGCATCATTCAGAAACTAAAATCTAAAGCATCATGCGGGGTAGACGAAATCAATGCAATCTTTTTAAAAAACACTGCCGAATATTGCTCAATCATACTAGAACATATTTACTCGCAATCTTACAACTCGGGTACCTTACCGTTTGACTGGAAAACTGGCAGAGTCATCCCTATTTACAAATCAGGACCATCCCATGACCCACAAAATTATAGACCGATTTCTCTTACATCAGTGCCTTGCAAAGTTATGGAGCATATAATTTACACACATCTGGTTAATTTTCTCGAACATAACAACTTCTTCACAGCTTCGCAGCATGGATTTCGCAAAAACTTTTCCTGTGACACTCAGCTCATAGCCTTCACTCATTTTCTCCACTCTAATCTAGATGGCGGTTTTTTAACAGATTGTATATTTCTCGACTTCTCTAAAGCATTCGACAAAGTGAACCATGCACTGCTACTTCATAAACTAAGCGTTCTAAACATCGACACAGCTGTAATTAATTGGATTCGCGCCTTTCTAACATCACGTGTTCAGTTTGTAGCCGCTAACGACGTTAACTCCTCATTGATTCCTGTTGATTCTGGTGTCCCGCAAGGGTCTGTGCTTGGTCCCTTATTATTCCTAATCTATATTAATGATTTGCCTACTAATGTCTCTTCGAAAATATGCCTGTTTGCAGATGACTGCGTCTTGTATAGAAAGGTGACGGATGCCGCAGACATTTCACTAATTCAGGAAGATCTTAATAACATAACTAAATGGTGTCAATTATGGCGTATGGAATTAAACGTTAGAAAATGCAAAAGTATGAGGATTTCCAGTGCTGAAGTGACTTCCCCTACTTACACACTTAATAACATCCCACTAGAATGCGTAACATCGTACAAATACTTGGGTGTCCATATTACCAATAACCTTTCATGGAAAACTCATATTGATTACATAGCCACCAAGGCCACTAGCACATTAGGATATTTTCGCCGGAAGTTTCCTCAAGCGCCATCTTCATTAAAACTACTACTGTACACAACTTTCATTCGTCCGAAGCTTGAGTATGCATCGTCAGTATGGGACACCGGATATCAGAACCACATAAAATTACTAGAAAAAATACAAAATCGCTCAGTCCGTTCATTTTAAACAATTACCAAAGAACTGCGAGTGTTACTAACATGAAAGACATTCTACACCTTCCATTGCTATCACATCGCCGAAAACTATCTCGACTCTATCTTTTCCATAAAATCTACTACCACAATTCATATTTACATTCTATGCTTCTTCAGCCACCGCCGTACATTTCATCCCGCATCGACCATCGCCAAAAGGTAAACATTCCACACAGCAACACCGTCGGCTTTTCACACTCATTTCTCCCCACAACGACCAGAGACTGGAACAATCTGCCTGCATCACTCACAAGCATAACTAACACCAATAATTTCAAAATCGCACTTCGAAGTTTCATTTCGAGTTAACATCGTTCAGTGTTTGTTTCATACCTTTAATTTTTTTCTTTTTTTTATATGTTTCCCTTTTGTTGCTATGCTTCTCGTATTCTAGTTTTGCGAGTGGCTACTTTTTGTCATTTTTTTTTTTTTTTTTTTTCATTATATCTCTTTTGGCAGTGCATCCAATGATAAAATCTTGTAATTCTTCCAGGACAGTCCAGTGTTTTGATTCCTGTGTTATTCATTCTGGTTCATTGGCCTTTGTTCTTGTAACTGATATTTGTTTAAAGTGTCATCGTGATAATTCATTTCTGTATTTTTAAAACTATAACCAAGTTATTATTACGTGTTAACTTTCTTTGCCCCTCCCCTCTTCAATGTACGTTTGTACCCTGAGGGTATTTGAAATAAATCTTCACATGCTCTGTAATGGTATAGTCCCCTCGGTCACCCACGCATATACATCCTACCACTACGTCATGCCGCTTGCTCAGACCCACAGTTGGCCCGGGCAAGTGGTTGGTCCAAAACGAACAATATTCTACACATTGTCATGGCAGAAAACAAAAACTGTGCAACTTACTGTAAAACTAATTAGTACATATCTGAATGTGGCATAAAAGCCAATATGTCTGCAAGAATCTCATTGCCCTAGGTTGCAGATTAATGAAGCTTTCTTTTTTTTTTTTGCATCTCCCGTTTACTTGATGCTGCACTAGTAAATTACTGAGGTAGTATATGTCACATGTAAAAATTAAAATGCACAGGTAAACACACTGTGTTGTTTGAAGCTATTATGCGCATTTCGTGCTGGGAGCTTCTTATCAAAACCTCAGATGTTGCCTGAAGCAGTGCGATGCTGATGTTATGTTCCCCAAGAAAATGGTTCACACTTGCTGTTCACTCAGTCCAATGAATGTGCAATATTAAAAGCCATCACAGGCCACAAAAACAAAGGAGCATTGGTCTGAAATTGTGAAAGGAATGTGGAAGTCTGAGCTGAGTTCCTCTCTTCATGGTGCCAATGGAATCGGTTCAGCGACAGCGAGCCTACGTATGCCAAAAGGATGGAGCAGTACCTGGTACAGCATCGCAAATTTTGACCATATCTATGCATTGGTTCAACAAAAGTCTTGTTAATTGGCTTCGTTACAAAACACCACATGATTTTATGGAGCTGGTAGTGTTGCAGTGTAATACTGGGAGCAGCTATGAAACAGATAGCCAGCTATATAAATCTTGTTGTGGCAGTGCACTTTCTGAGAGAACAGTCATTTGGGGGAAAAGGCATCTGTTAATTCCAGTTGCTTTTGATGCTAAATTATTCTTTTTTTCAGATCCAGGTATAGCTCCTTATGAGTTCACGATTGATGGTAATTAACTGTGATATTCTGAAACAAACACTGACATATATTTTTGCACTGATTGGGATTGCTCGCAAGATACCAGTTCACTTTCAGGATAAATGGGAGCTCGTTGTGTTCGGTACTACTGTCTCTATGGCTACGCATTTTTGTCACATGATGCACCGGAAGAACAAAACATTTTCTTCTTCACACACCGAATATGTTGGTGATGCATAACATAGGCAACACGAAATATGGATCTGTTCTATTTGTAGAGTGCACAGTGCAATGCATTAAGATGCTTATAGGTATGCTTTCTGTCTCGCCCACTCCCAAGATGAGCACTGTTCACCGCTTTCCTTCAAACTGGGTGTGACTTCAGCACCAACATGACTGTGCCACTCACAAATTTTTTTTATGCTAACACAGGTTATCTACTGCTGTTCTTGAAATTTATGGCGCATAAATACTCTGTGTAACCGCCCATTGTAATGCCTGAAATGCACTGTGGTTATGCATGTAAATAAATTAACAGTAAAAAAAAGCTCTGCAGGAAAAGGTTCTGTTCCTCTTCAACGGCAGCTACATTACGGGGCACACCATTTTATAAATGCATTTTCAAAAGCTGTGAGAATTGTCCCTTTCATCAGTGGCACCGGTGGAATTTTAGCTGATTTCCTGGGTGTTTGGGGCAGCAGGTAAACTTAGTTATTGATGGTAGCACAGGCTAATGAGAAACTTGAAGGATTGTTGATGGTAGTCTGCGCCACCGTCAATTATCATGCTGTAACAACAAACCTATGAGGTGACGCCCTCATCAGTTATACTGAAATCACCTATAAGTGTGCTTTACTATGCACTCAAACCTCATTATAACAAAGTTGTATCTTACACGAAAGTAAGCTCATTATATTTGAAAATTTTTCATTAAGGTTTATTCCTAAAACTATTTATTGCAAGACTGTTTTTAATATGCTTTGTTATAAGCAATATTTCATAATATCCAGTTTCATTACATCGAGGTTTGACTGTATTTAGGTGAAAAAAAGTGAGGTTTAGCAGGTGTTCTCTACTGTGCTTTAATGCTGCCTGACATAATAATAAATAAGATCAGAGCTGTAGGGAGTTCTTTGCTGCTTTTGTCAACCCATTTACAAATTTCACAGGAGCTTGACAAATCTGCTGGAAATGGCAAAGTCGGGCCCGATGTACCTGCCGCTGTCGACCTGCTGCGAAAAGTGGTTCAACTGGCCAACAGAAGTGAGTGCCCTTCAGTGAGGCTGTAGGAGCTAGTCTTGATGTGCATTTGCACACATCATGCTGTATTGGCCTTCCCATGAATACGGGTTGAAAGATTGTTTTACAGTTGTACATGAAAAAAAAAAAAAAAAACTCTGAATGTAGCACTGTCTGCCATTGAGGCCTGTGTCATTGTTACTGCACTAAATTAATGATCAATGACCTTGGATATGTGTAGAGGAAAGTAGGTCCTTTGAACATTTAGATACGTGCCAAGTCTTCCGGATATTCTGAGAGGCTCCCGGATTTCAACCATTCCTTACATTTGTACGGTTGGTGGGAAATCTCCCGGAAATAGAAATTTCTGGGCTTGATCTGGCCGCATTGACAAAAATTAAACTCATTTCAATCCAGTCTTTTTGCAAAACATTGGCATTATGACATTATGAAGTGTTGGTCTAAACGTACACTAGAATCATGGGAATTTAAATTCACAAAATTCTGCAGCCATATTCCGCCGTGTTCACTGGGCTGAAATTCAAATGTTCAGTACCGAAACCGTCAAGCAATGGTCGAGAGTAATGTGCTGGAAGCTACGGAAAGACGTTCGTGGCCAACAGAAGCGTGGCCACCCTTGACGCGATCATGTTTGGCGATGAGAAAACTGAACTGCACGCGCATTGAACACTCACCCCGTCAAAGCAGCGCTTCTTTCTGCAAACGCTGCTGACAAAACCATTGCAGAAGCAATCATAGATAGCAACAAGCAGCTTAGTTTTGAAGGCACGTGCACGACCAGCACATGCGAAATAAAAAATGGAACTATCGTTTGCTGCAGCAGCCGCACATGAAACCGCGGTTTCTGCGTGTCACAGAACGAGCGCTAAACAAGAGCGCGCCGCCAAATCCTTGCGACAACGGGCGGCAGAAACGCCGCGAGGTAAAAAGAAAAAAAGAAAGAAAGAAAGCAAACATCCAGGGCTCCCGGGCGCGCGCTCCCCCCGCAGAAGCACGGCTTCGCAGACGATCCTCCTCACCCCACATCGGCGGCCCAGCAAGACCGCGATTTTTCTCGAACGAACGGGGCGGGGTCAGACCGAGCTGAGTCATCCGACGCGGAGGGCAGACAAACCGTCTCGCCTCTCCCCAGCCTTCGCTGCGTATCGCGCCGACGAAATGACGAGAAAGATCTGGAAAGTCGCGCGCAAGGTATTTAACCGAGCAGCCGAGACGAGAAATTAGGAGGAGACGGAAGTTAGCGCCGGAGCGCGTAGAAATTCCGCCGTGGAGTCGGCGAAGGTTCTGCCCGTAGTGACAGAACAGGAGGAGACGGAAGTGAGCGCCAGAGTGCGTAGAGAGTCCGCCGTGTAGTCGGCGAAGTTTTTGGTCCGTAGGGACGGCTCGAGCTACAGGCAAGAGCGTGGGTTTACCGCTATCGAGCGAAGACGCGGGCAACAGCTGCGTGTGTGAAGCCGACGGATTTCCGGCGAAGAAGTTGAAGTTTGAAGAGTGGCCAATTGAAGACGGGAGGTTTCCTGGAAGAGAACTTCGAGAGCTGCGGAACGACAGCAACGCTGGACTTTGAGTGAGTGATTCTCGGAAGAGTATCATTCAGCCTTTTGTTCCAAGGACTTTGGACTGAATAGGTTTTATATCTCTTTAGTCTTTAAGTGTCTTGGTTGTTCAGAGCATGCGACTGCACTGTAGTGCGTATTGTTGTCTGTGTCCGTGGTTTCAAGTGTGGTTGATTGTACTGTGTAGTACATTGTCTGTTTGGTGACGTATTGTATGTAACTATTGTGGAGTGTGCATACGTGTGTATTGTTTTTGATCTGCCGTTAATGAGAATATAATTTTGTTTGTTTATCAACTCTCGGCTCTGTCTTGTTCTTTGGACCACAGCCGGCGTCCGCTGGCGCACCAATAAGGACCACTTCTAAATTGTCCACGCTTTCGTGGTGCGGTTCGGGGGGCCGATACTTCGGCTCTTGGAATTAGCCCGGCGATCGCCTCCCTAATAAACGGGACAGGTGTGACAATTAATCTGGCGTCCGCGACAGGACCTTTTGGTGCACAGTGTGTCCAAAGTAGTGAGAAAGAGCCTCGAGTTGTTGATAGTGCTATCGGAACGATTTTGTGGATTGTTCAGTGTTCTCGTTAACGAGTGCAGGGGAGTGTTCCGATAGACTGATTTAGGCAGATACTTTTTGCACGCGGCAAGGTTGTATTTGCGAGTTGCGAGACACAATGGATCTCGAAAAGTTAGTTGCTCTTGGTGAAAAGATGGGTCTTTCTGGCGTCGAACTACGGAAGTGGGTCACCCAGAGGGAAAAAGAAGAAAAAGAGAGAGCCAAAGAAGAAAAAGCAGCCGAGCTGGAAAAAGAGAGGTTGGCGGTCGAAAGAGCCAAAGCGGAAAAAGAAGCTGAGGTGGAGAGAGAGAGGTTGGCGGCAGAGAGGGCCAAGGAAGAAAAGGCAGCTGAGTTGGAGAGAGAAAGGCTGGCCGCTGAAAGGGCGAGAGAAGAAAGAGAAGCGAGGGAGCGCCAGCTGAAAGAAGAAAGAGAAGCGGAGATGGCTGAAAGGGAACGGCAGTGGCAGCACGAAATTGAACTCGAGCGAGCGGCTCCGTTTGCAACAGCGAAACGAAACTCCCGTCCAAGCTAGAGTTGAAAGCAGCGAACGGGAAGATCACGGCTTCCGCTTGAACCCAAGCAAGCTGCTCGTAGCGTTTGATGAAAGGAAGGACGACCTAGACGCGTACCTCCACAGATTTGAGACGATTGCGAGGAGTCAGAATTGGCCGGAACAGCAATGGGCAACTGCTTTAAGTACCTGCTTGAGTGGTGAAGCGCTCAGTGTGTACGGTAGGCTGACGCCGACCGATGCAGCCAACTACGCAAAGGTGAAAGCGGCTTTGTTGAAGCGATTTAGATTCACTGTGGAAGGATTCCGGGACAGGTTTCGGACAGGAAAGCCAGCTGATGGTGAAACGGCTACGCAGTATGCCGCCCGACTTTGCCATCATTTCGACAGATGGATTGAACTTTCAGGGACAGCACAGGAGTACGATGAACTTAGAGAGCTGCTAATTAAAGAACAATTTCTTACTAGTTGCCACCCAAGCCTGTCGCTGTATTTGAAAGAGAGGAAGGCGGAGTCATTTGAAGGAATGCTTGAATTGGCTGATCAATTCTTAGAAGCGCAAGGAGGAACTAATTTGGCCAAGGTCAAGAAGGATTGTCCCGATGATTCGAAGAAATTGGCTCCTGAAGAAAAGAAGCGTGCACCAGAGAGCATTCCGCGATGTTTTCTATGTAACCGAGTGGGTCATCGCGCGAAAAACTGTCGAACGATCTTTACGAGCCCTACGGTAGTGAAATGTTTTAAGTGTGGTCAGACTGGGCACAAAGCAGATGCATGTCGAAACGGAGCGAGTCAAACTCACCAGGTATCCTGTGTGCAAGCAGCACCGAAATCTGATAATAATGCCGTCACCGATGGATTCGTAGAATTGAAAAATGGGGAGAAAATTCCTATTGTGGGTGCTGTAATGTCAAAACAGCCAACCGGTGTTACGACAGGAATGCCAGCGCTGCCTGGAAAAGTTGCGGACAAAAAGATTACGGTGTTAAGAGATACCGGCAGTTCCACTGTTATCGTGCGGAGAAATTTGGTACGGGAAAGTGAGTTGACAGGCAGAACAAAACCGGTTTGCCTAATTGACCGTACAGTTCGGATGCTTCCCGAAGCAGAAATTGAGGTTGAAACCCCGTACTTCAGCGGGAAGGTTACTGCTTTATGCATGACGACCCCCCTGTATGACCTTGTCATCGGAAACATCGACGGGGCGCGAGGGCCAAGTGATCCAGAATGTTTGGGAGAAGACCCGAAGATAGAGCCCTCGCCAACACAGAGGCCGCGAGATACAGTGGAGGAGCATCCCGTGACGGATCTCATTAGAGCCCAAGGTGAAGCTGCGGCGCAAGAGACAGCGAAGGAGAAGACGATCATGTCGAACAAGTTCACGGGCCGAGCAACCGGACTTACGTCGGCACGACCTCAACCGACTGACAGTGTAAAGGAGACGGTGTTGGCCAGCCGGGCAAAATGTAGAGGCATTATCAAGCGGGTAAATAAACAGACAGGACCCGTCGAATGTAATGACGCGTTAACGGTGTCGGAAGAGACAACGATGGCTGAGACGACGCCTCAGATATCGTCGTTGGAAAGGGCTCGCCGAAAAAGAACGTGGAAGCACAAGAAGAGATCGAGCGAGCACCGCAAAAAGGGGCGCAAGCGCTGTTCGAAGTACTCAAGATAGGTGCTGAGGTGGAATCAGAATGTGTTCGGCAGGGCTGAGTGACATATGTTGTGTTAAGGTTCTTGTTATCCTGTGTCTCAAGTGTATGTCGAGTGAGTCAGTGTTCTGTGCGATGGTGTGATGTATAGTGTTGTATAATTGTTGGATAGACAGAACTTTGTACGGTTGTATTGTTTAGAATGTGTGATGAAGTGTTGTAGGCATGTACCTGTGGCTATATTTCATCTGTTGTGGAATTGAACTACAATGTACGATTGTATTGAGTGATATATTGTGAATGTGAAGTGTCATGAGCGACGGATTGTGTTACAGTCTGTGAGAATGTGTGGTGACTGTTCGCGCTCGTCTGTGTGGTTTTTGAATATTATGAGATAATATTCTTAAAGTGGGGGGCAGTGTCACAGAACGAGCGCTAAACAAGAGCGCGCCGCCAAATCCTTGCGACAACGGGCGGCAGAAACGCCGCGAGGTAAAAAGAAAAAAAAAAAAGAAAGAAAGCAAACATCCAGGGCTCCCGGGCGCGCGCTCCCCCCGCAGAAGCACGGCTTCGCAGACGATCCTCCTCACCCCACATCGGCGGCCCAGCAAGACCGCGATTTTTCTCGAACGAACGGGGCGGGGTCAGACCGAGCTGAGTCATCCGACGCGGAGGGCAGACAAACCGTCTCGCCTCTCCCCAGCCTTCGCTGCGTATCGCGCCGACGAAATGACGAGAAAGATCTGGAAAGTCGCGCGCAAGGTATTTAACCGAGCAGCCGAGACGAGAAATTAGGAGGAGACGGAAGTTAGCGCCGGAGCGCGTAGAAATTCCGCCGTGGAGTCGGCGAAGGTTCTGCCCGTAGTGACAGAACAGGAGGAGACGGAAGTGAGCGCCAGAGTGCGTAGAGAGTCCGCCGTGTAGTCGGCGAAGTTTTTGGTCCGTAGGGACGGCTCGAGCTACAGGCAAGAGCGTGGGTTTACCGCTATCGAGCGAAGACGCGGGCAACAGCTGCGTGTGTGAAGCCGACGGATTTCCGGCGAAGAAGTTGAAGTTTGAAGAGTGGCCAATTGAAGACGGGAGGTTTCCTGGAAGAGAACTTCGAGAGCTGCGGAACGACAGCAACGCTGGACTTTGAGTGAGTGATTCTCGGAAGAGTATCATTCAGCCTTTTGTTCCAAGGACTTTGGACTGAATAGGTTTTATATCTCTTTAGTCTTTAAGTGTCTTGGTTGTTCAGAGCATGCGACTGCACTGTAGTGCGTATTGTTGTCTGTGTCCGTGGTTTCAAGTGTGGTTGATTGTACTGTGTAGTACATTGTCTGTTTGGTGACGTATTGTATGTAACTATTGTGGAGTGTGCATACGTGTGTATTGTTTTTGATCTGCCGTTAATGAGAATATAATTTTGTTTGTTTATCAACTCTCGGCTCTGTCTTGTTCTTTGGACCACAGCCGGCGTCCGCTGGCGCACCAATAAGGACCACTTCTAAATTGTCCACGCTTTCGTGGTGCGGTTCGGGGGGCCGATACTTCGGCTCTTGGAATTAGCCCGGCGATCGGCTCCCTAATAAACGGGACAGGTGTGACACTGCGATACAATCATCGATAGCGATGACGAGTCCGAAGGTATGCGTCTAACGCAGCGGTAGATTAAAGTAGTAAAAAAATGGCACGAAGCATTTCGGTGTTCATGCTGATCTTCGTTTATTACTACGGTGGAGTGAACTTCGGCACTTTACAGTTGGCCTCAAGTCAAGCTTCGACGTGCAGTTTCGCGCGGCAGCCAGTTGCGTCGTCCGTTATTGGTTCATTCACTTGTGTCGCACAAAAACGTACGCGAGTTCTTTTGATGGAAATAAATGTTTTGCGCGTATGTCGCAGTTTGGAAACCACGTTGTAATTTTTTTTTATTATGCTAAGCTTTGGACGATCACCATTTTTTGACTGCCGCTTGAGATTCGTACATATCACTGAGATTCTACTGTTGTTTAGACACTCCTCCTGCTTTGTTTATAATCATGGTAAAACCACAACGTCAATGTTTATGTTTACAGGGCTGTTCAGAACCCCCACCCTTTCCGTGACATGTTTTATTTATTACATTAAAAAAAAAAGGTGAGGGAGATGGAGACATATTGCTGGTCTAAGAAAAGAGCCTGAAATAAGTGAAATGGCATGCAGGGAAGTCGCTGCTGAACCCTCGCAAGATATTGGAGCATGTGCAGTGGTTCCTGGATAAAGGGGCGTGCGAGCCTCTGCAGACGCAGTACAACAGCCTCCTGCGGTTGCTGCTGCATAGTGACTGGCAGGCTACTCTGCCGGCTTCTCTGTACCGCAGTGAGTGTATAGTCTTTGGATACTTCAACGCAAGTTTTGGTCTGGCTATTCGTCTTTCTGTTGGTCTGTCTTTTGCACGATTCAGCCACTCAGCAAAAGTTTAAGCATTTTCTCGATGCCCAGCCATCTTGATCGGCTGGCTGCGTTCATACTTGTGAGCATTGTCAACCAAAAGCAAGTATTATTTATATTGAAGGTAAATACCAGTACGTAAGTATCAGGTATTGTGTTTTTATTTCTAAAATGCATGGAATGTTTATAACGCTGCGCTGATAATGCGACGCTATGACCGAAAAAGCGGGTGTTTCTTACGCTTTTCTCAGACGACAGGGTGCTGCCACCTATTAGTTTCTTTGCGTTCTAGAAATACTTTGGTTTCTTGAAATTGTTGTCAGATGGCGTCCATATCTCATGCAGTGCCACCAGAGAGAAGAGTACACTCGTTAGGTGACCTTTGCTAGTTCAGCACACAAATACTCGGCCAAGTTCTCGCTACGATTCTGGCAGAACCCATTGTATGGCGAATGCTGATGCTAATGTGATTTTCCTTGCACAGTCATGCACGAGGAGTGTTTTCCTCAAGGCTTATCCCTTGTGTTTCTGAGTGGAGAGGCTCTGCTGTCTAGGAACTGTGCCAGACGAGGCTGTCTGAAAGTCGGTACCATAGTAAGTATGGTATGTATAGAATAAGCCAAGTATCACAGTCGAACATAGAAATATCGAACTCGTATATATTGCCGCGAACCATGCATTGGGTTTGTTTATTTGTGTTTTGTTTTTTCGGCCTGGCTGCGCCGGCCTGTGCTATCACTGTTTTCACAGCGTTTCGAACAAACGCTATCATAGCGTTTCGAACAAACCCTATCGAACAGCGCTTCGAGCGTTCCGAACGAACAGCGTTTCGAACAAACGCTATCACGGCGTTCTCGATACAATTCGACTATTCGAGAAACCCTCGCGCCGAGGGATATAAATTCCCGCACAGCCGATGCCGCGACATTCGATCGCCGACGCTCACTAGCGTGCACGTCGTTTTGCCGGCCGCTGCTTCGCCGCCTGAGTATTCTTTCAGTTGTTAGGGGAGCACAGGTTCGCTCCAATAAACTTGTTTTCCTTATAGACAACTGCGTCGTCCGTTGCTGCGTGACATCTGGTGGAGGTGCTGGGTACATGAACCCTAAGCCATTGCCAAGCCGACAAGCAAGCCCAACACGACAAGCACGCCCAACTCGTGTCAGCCGCCGACAGCAAGGCCTTCAGCCAGAGTTTGGACTGCTCCCGAATAAAAAAAGGAAAGAAGACGTAAAAACCACGATGATCAACGCAGGCACCATGACCAGCGCTGCCAACCCTCCCGTCGTTCTGCAACAACCTCGTGAGCCCCCATCATTCCGAGGATCTCCTGGTGAAGACCCGGAAGAGTGGCTGGAGAAGCTGGAGCGCGTCCGCATCTTTAACAGGTGGGATGACGAAGAAACGTTTCGTCATGTCTTCTTCTATTTGGAGGATGCAGCTCGAACGTGGTTTGAGAACCATGAAGGCTCCCTAACCGACTGGACTGTCTTTAAGAGCGAATTCCTCAAAACATTCGCTACGGTTGTGCGGAAAGAACGAGCCGCCCTTTTGTTGGAGACGCGAATGCAACACCCTAATGAAGGTGTTGTACTGTTCGCTGAGGAGATGAAGATGCTGTTCCGGAGAGCTGACCCAGAAATGGCAGAAGAGAAGAAGGTGCGCTTTCTGATGCGGGGAGTTAAACAAGAGCTCTTCGCTGGACTCATCTGCAACCCCCCCAAGACCGTTGCTGAGTTCGTCACCGAGGCTTCGATGATCGAGAGGACCTTGGATATGCGTAACCCTGGCATATCAAATAAACCCGGTAAGCGCCCCTGGATTGGCGACGGAAGACTTGAGGGAGACCATCCGCGCCGTCGTTCGCGAGGAACTGAGGAAATTGTTCCCAGGAATGCCGCAGCCCCAAGTCTCCTCCCTCACTGACGTCGTCCGCGAGGAGGTTCAGCAAGCACTGGGGAATTCCACGCCGTCGGAAGCATCTTGCGAACCACAAGCGATGACCTACTCCGCTGCTACTCGTCGACCCCGACCCGTCCCAACCCGTTATCAAGAGGCCCCGCCATACCGCCGCCCAATGTCGCCCGCCCGACCCCCTGTAACCCGAAACCAGGCGCCCAGGAAGACCGAGGTGTGGCGAACGCCAGATAATCGTCCGCTGTGCTACCACTGCGGAGAGGCCGACCATGTCTACTGCCGCTGCCCGTACAAGAGGCTGGGTTTGCGTGGGTCCTCCGTCGACGCACCCCGCCCGCGAGCCGGCCAGCGCCCATTTGAGATCGAAGAATACCTGTCGAACACCAGCCGTGGACCATCCCGTTTCAACCGTTCGCCGTCGCCCTACCCGTACCAATCCCCCAACCGTCGCAGCAATGCTGACTTCGCCCGTGGAAGGTCCCCCAGCTCACGAGGGGGAAACTAAAAGCAGCAACTTCTGGAGGTGAAGTTGCACAACGGCGAGAAAATGAAAACCCTCCAACGACGCAAGACCGTGATTCACGACATGCCCTCATCCCAACGACCCGACGACACCCTGACGAGACCCCCGAAAACGACGACAGCTACGCTGCGCGACGCGTACCCGAAATGACGAAGCCTGCCGCTGAGAAGACGACGATGACGACGCATAGTGCCCGACCATCAACACGCGCTTGTCGCGATACGACGCCCCAACGCACCCGAAATTCGAGGAAAGCGGCATCCGACGTCCAGTTGTTCATTGACGGCCTTGACGTAGTCGCCCTCATCGACACGGGAGCCGACTACTCGGTCATGAGCGGGTCATTCGCGTCCAAGCTAAAGAAAGTTACGACCAGATGGGACGGTCCGCACATACGCACAGCAGGAGGCCACCTCGTGACCCCAAGTGGAATGTGCACATCGCGCGTCACCATAGACGGCACTACGTACCCTTCGGAGTTTGTCATTTTGCCTAACTGCTCCCGCGACGTAATTCTCGGAATGGACCTTCTGGGCCCGTTCCCTACATCCCGATCCGCGAACAAATGGATTGTCGTAGCGACAGACGATTGTCGTGTCGACGTTGAACATAAGACGTGGGACGAAGTCCTCCCGTACGTCACGTTTGCGTACAACGCGGCTATCCAAGAAACCACGCAGATGACACCGTTCGAGCTCGTCTACGGAAGACGGCCGACTACGATGCTCGACACCATGCTTCCGCACGTAGAAGACGGCGACCTCAACGCCGACGTCCAAGGATACCTCCAACGTGCGGAGGAGGCCCGCCAGCTCGCTCGAGTTCGTATAACGGACCAGCAACTGGTGGATGTCGGACGCTACAATCTCCGACGCCGAGACGCCGAGTACCATCCTGGAGATCGTGTGTGGGTTTGGACTCCCATTCGACGACGTGGACTCAGTGAGAAACTTCTACGACGCTATTTCGGACCCTACCGGATTCTACGACGTGTTGGCGAACTAACGTACGAAGTGATCCCCGATGGTGACTCCCGTACATCACGACGACGCATGCGGCCCGAAGTCGTCCATGTGGTTCGCTTGAAACCTTTCTACGGACGATGACAAACTTTTATTTTAATTTGTTTGGACTGTCCTTTATGTTAGCATCGGGTCGATGCACTCTTAGAGGCGGGGTAATGCCGCGAACCATGCATTGGGTTTGTTTATTTGTGTTTTGTTTTTTCGGCCTGGCTGCGCCGGCCTGTGCTATCACTGTTTTCACAGCGTTTCTAACAAACGCTATCACAGCGTTTCGAACAAACACTATCGAACAGCGCTTCGAGCGTTCCGAACGAACAGCGTTTCGAACAAACGCTATCACAGCGTTCTTGATACAATTCGACTATTCGAGAAACCCTCGCGCCGAGGGATATAAATTCCCGCACAGCCGATGCCGCGACATTCGATCGCCGACGCTCACCAGCGTGCACGTCGTTTTGCCGGCCGCTGCTTCGCCGCCTGAGTATTCTTTCAGTTGTTAGGGGAGCACAGGTTCGCTCCAATAAACTTGTTTTCCTTATAGACAACTGCGTCGTCCTCTGCTGCGTGACAATATAGAATTATGAGATCTATCAAACTCTTAAATATCTGCTTGAAAATTTTTGTAGAAGTATAGAAATTTCCTTGTTTATACCAAACAGTATTTTTACCCACCATCGGATATATCGATTGCGGCACGACCTGGACGGTGCATTTCAGCACTCGCTGCACTCTGCTACCTTCACGGCACCGTGCCGCAGCGGACACCCAAAACTCTAGAAAATTGTGAGGGTGAGAGGGCTAGGTTTGTACTCCTGTCGGGTGGCGTTCTCAAACTTATGGAATGATGTTTTTCTTTCTCTCTCTCTCTTTTTCTCACGTTATCGCCGTGTTTGTCGGCTAGGAGAGCAGGAACAAAGGAGGCGGAAGCCTCCTTGTTCACGTTTTTTTTCATTACATTTTTTTGTTGTTCCTGTTTCGTAAGTTTTGATCGGTGAACCGCAACTTGCACCTTTCGTATTCGTGCAGCCAACCTCTACTTGTGTCTTTCATACATTGCTGCTGCACTCTCAGGTAGTCATCGTCCACTGATCACAAGCGCCTTGTTGGTGGAATCCACTTCCGTGAGATGTCGATTACCACAGAATTTCTCTTTGGCATGCGTGCTGTGTGTGGTTTGAAAAGAGGCACTGTGATCTGCTTGACTTGTCGACTTATCGTGTGGCAATGAGCAGTATCAAGAAGCACAAGAACCTTGATTTTGCGACGAACGAAAAACGATCGATGGTAGTAAATGACATGAGGATGCCACAGAGCACTCTGAGCACTTGAAGAACAAGGCAGATATCAAGGGTAAGGCAGCAGAGCAAGGAATGTCAGAAGCCTGTCGTGTGCGCACTCTTGCCCATGGCAAAGTAAAAAAGGCTCTCCTGGCCTGTTTTTTAAAAGGTACATAAAGAACACTC